GGTTTCCCAGATGAAGTTTCTTGACGTTGTAGGGAAATCATCGTACGTATTGTATTATCTTTGTTTAACTGTTATATTTATTATTTTGTAATATGTGGAAAATGATATACCGTAATGGACTTTTTGTTGTACAGGACTATCTCCAGCTTGCCTGATAAAATGAATATTGATGATATAGAATCAGCAATTGAGGAACCTCTACAGGTTACGCAACCTTTTGAGGCATGGAACACTTCTAGTACAAGTGAACAATCAGTAAGTGAAGCTTCCCTATCGCCGAGTCAGCAGCAACCGAAACCAAAAAGTTAGTTTTACTTATTTATGCAATAATTCCTGCTAAAAATGTCAGATAGTATAGTTCAGTAATAAATAAAAAAATGTGACTAAAATTAAATAATTTTTGGGATATAAAAAACTTTTTATTAAACTACTATCTACATACTAACGTTAATGTTTTATTTATTGTTTTTAGAATCAAGAAACTGTAACAATATCTCAGATGTAAAAGAGGCTATTTTATCAGCCCTGGAAGACGGGTCTAGGAATAAGCCAGATGCGGTCGATGGATTTTTTCTTCAAATAGGAGATAGAGTACGAGTCCTTCCAGCACGTGAGAGGGGTCTGTTTGAAATGAAAGTCCAATCGCTACTATTTGAGTTTGAACAAGAATTATCTCTTCTTTAAAGTCCTCTTTTTTTTTCAAGAAAATCTTTTTTATTTACTATTATGTAGTGTTTATAAAAATAAAACGCAATTTTTTTTGTTATGTATAAGGTACATATAAGATACATGTAAGGTACATACATATAAAGAAAATATAATATCAAGTAACACATCAAAAATCATTATTTATTGCCTTCTGCCATTTCTGTTACGAGATTGTCACTCGCTCCTTGTAATAATCGCTGTTCTACGGTAAATATAGGTCGCACCCAAAATTGTCGTTCTTTTTAGATTCTTCTTCGTTTACCGCAATTACGTACAGTGCATACAATAGGAATATTTTACGTCGCAATTCTTGTCGATAAAAACTACTGTAACTTCGTTTAAATTTATTTACTAAACAGAAAATGGCTAGTAACATAGTTTCGGAATCCATTTTTTCTGCAAAAAAAA